GTGAAAGTTTTCTTACGGTAAATGGATGTTGAGAATGAATTGTTATGGCGTTTGACAAGAACATCAAGGAATGGAAGTTCGTGATCCTGTTCAAATTCATTGGTAAATTTGATGTTGACATGTCGGTCGTTGAGATAAGAGAGAAATTTAACAGCAGCGTCCTTATTGTGAGTGGGGCTTGATCGAAGTTTTGCTCCAAGCAACCGGAAGTGAAATGCAAACGAATTGAAATAATGGGAAAGAAAAAATTTCATATCGGCCGATCAACAAGGAGTGGTCGCAAAGTCAGGCAGTAGACATATGGCGGCGGCTTCGGTACAAAAAGTCGTGTCTGTTTTCTTTGACATTTTAGTTACAAAGACCGTAATCCATCTTAAGTATTTGGGATAGTGGAGGTGGTTTTAAGGACGTAACTGCCTGGGATGAATTCCGATGAGAATCCGTCTACAAATTCGTTATCTTCGCTTTCAAACTTGCCCAAGAGCCCCGATTCTGATGTGGACGAGCTGGATCCGTTAGCGCTCGGAGCATCGGAGGAAGTCAACACGTCTGCTTACAACGACGACAGAAACGTTATTCAGCCTTCCAAGGTTGCCGTCAGTGTTGAGACGTTCCATCCAGAAGTTTTAGGCCTGCAGAGAAAAACTCCTTTAAATTCGCCTTACATGTACAGCGATCACTCAAACATGGCGAACGAGGTTAACGGAGAGCAACCGTTGAAGCCGACACAGATTAATGATTTTGATAATTCCGAGAGTGTTAGGGACACAACAAACGAGAACGGCGCAAACCACAATGGGACGGATTCAGAATCTTCCATGATCACAACAACGGTAGTTTCAGAAGGTATTTCGCTCGATTCTGCGCGAGGGATCGTTGTCATGGAACAAGTCGCTTTGGAACAAATAAACGAATTGATCGCTGCCTCGCAAACTCAAAATAACAATAGTTCTGGCAGTGATGTAGAAGTCGAGGACCCGTGTGACAGACGCTTTAGGAGTGAAAGTCAAAATTCGGACAGTTCTTCAACGGAGTTAGAAATCTCTAGACAGTCGCCACAACAACCAATAACAGAGGCCGAGTTTAATGTGAGTAGGTTTGAAGATCTTGACACTAAAGAGATTGCCGAGGCTCTAACGAATGAACTCAAGAAATACTCTATACCACAAGCTGTTTTTGCACGCAAAGTTTTGAATAGATCTCAAGGGACACTAAGTGACGTATTGAGGAAGCCTAAACCGTGGAATGAACTAAGAGGTGGAAGAGAGATATTTCGTAAAATGAAGGAATGGTTGGACTTACCAGAGGTAAAAAGAATTCCCCAACTAAGAACTGAAGGTAAGGCGCTAGTGTGCAGGTAATGATACTTACTCTCTGGCATGTGACATGCACTCTTTGGGAATAATTTAATTTAGACAATAGTGCTTTGTTTACTTAACAGCTATACACTTTGTGCGGTAAGTTCTTATATGTTTGTAATTTTAAAAAAAAGCATTCTTGTACAGAACTACAGAAGTGTAGCAAGAGTACAAATTTAGCCATTGTCTGTTCTACCAATAACTTATTGCATTTTAGATTGGGTAGGATAATTGTGATTGAATCTGGCCTTCCCATTTCATACATGTATTTACCTTCAAAATGTAGTTTTTTCGTAAGTTCTTCATTTCATACAATTCGATTTAATGATACAAACTATATTGTACTTAGGGCACAAAAGTTTGTATTACATTCTGCCAAACTTCATTCATTCATTCATTATTATTATTATTATTATTATTGTTGTTGTTGTTGTTGTTGTTGTTGTTATTATTATTATTATAATGGTAACTGAACTGAGTGGAGTGTAATTTGGTCTGCAATCATACCTGGGGTTTTAAAATCAAACTCGTCCTGTGTACTCATTTGATTTGAAATCACAAGTATGATTTCAGACCAAAATTGCATGACACGTAGTTCAGTAGCCAATTCTCTCTATGAGACATGCCTGCAGGGAATCATGGTAGTTGTATTAATCAAAACAAATATCCAGTCCAAGAAAATGATTACAACTACCATGATTCTGTGCAGGCACGTCAAGAGGGAATTGGCCATCGCTACTTTATTACATCCATTTTGAAATCGCACAATTTTTCACCTGAATACAGGATTTGGCGAGTACCATTATTTTATTGATCCAGTAGACAGTTGGTTAAGAAAGAAAGCGAACCTGAAATGCTTCTCATTTAGTATGCAAAACAGAAAGACTTAGATGTCATCTGACAAGAACTCATGCAAGCATAACAAAGGAAAAAGCAGTTCTCAAGTCAGAACAAAAACAGTCTACTTAAAAGTTCAAACTTTGTCGTCTGAATAAATGATATAAGGCCTTCGTATCTATTAGTACTTCTTGTTGTAGAAGAAATTGAAGGTGCAGCCAGTGTAATTCAGGGTTTTTTTTTAGTTGTGAAACTCCCTCCAGCGCAGGATACTCAGTGGATAGTTTTTCTCCTTTAAAACATCATTTCAGTATCACACTGACCTCGAGCAGATGTTGAAGAAAAATTGCCAAAATATTCAGACGCTGAAAGTTGGAAACTTCCCTTAAAGCAGCTCTTCAGCCTAAAGGAGCTCATTATATTATTGCAGCCGCACAGTGGCTCTTTTCATTCATTTTCCTGCAATTTGATTGGTTACTTTAAATCTGATTGGTTGTTTTTTAGTGTTCCATTCTCATTGGCTAGAAAAAGATGCAATATAGGGTAAAGAATAGTGTGATTCGTGAATAAATTGCACTGTCGAGAGCAAATCAAATTGCAAGGATAACCAGTGATTTTAAAATGGATGTAATAAAATGCTGAATCACGAAGTTTTTGATTGCCATTTGTATCTAAAACTTCCATTGAGGGAGAGAGAGCCCTTGAAAGTTGAGAAAAAAAACCACTTTGACTATTTCTGTTGCTTATTATTAAAGCTTTAAAACTGATATAGATGTGGAACTGGTTGTATACAGACACTAGCACATTTTGTGGTAAAAATATACATGTCAAGAATTCAATTGTAAGAGCCTAGCCTTTATTGAGGCCAGCACACATGGTGTAACAGTGTGTGCAATATTCCTTCGAATGTCTAAATTGCATTGTCCATCCTGAAATTGTTGCATGCACTATTGCAATCTTGCATACAATCTCTTTCTACTTTTGAAATATTGTATGCAACAATTTCAGGAGTGGACACACAAGTGAAAAACATTGCACAAAATGTTGCAATATGTGTCCAGGCCTTTATGTGCTGTGCATGTAAATGTACATAAATCAAAACTGTTGCTTAAAAAGTTGTGAAGTTAACCAAACTTACCTGCAACAAAATATCCATGGAAAATGATGTTGAACAAGCTTCATGTCTCTAAACCTTACCTACATATGTTACATATAATCCAAACAGAATTTAGTCCTTAATAGGTTCGTGGCAATAGAATTTCTTGTTTCTATAATACAGGGTAAGATTGTCAACAAATGAACATGGTGTCAAGCATTAAGTCACCTTTTGATTGTACATTTCAATCTTTTCTTTCTTGTTGTCCTTTTAGCTGCCCTGGAACTTGATGCTAAAGCTAGAAGGGAAGAATTCCCTGGCCCAGCAGCCAAAAAGTCCAGGTTATATTTCACAGATTCTCAGAAAAGAGCACTGTTTGCCATTTTCAAAGAAACTAAAAAACCTTCAAGAGAAATGCAAAATGCTCTCGCAGAAGAACTTGGGCTTGAAAGGGGAACGGTTGCAAACTTCTTCATGAACGCCAGACGACGACATCCAGAGATTTAGAGGTACATGTACTTATCAAGTGCTGTTGGACAATTCCAGTGCTATTGTTGCTTACAGAATTGTAAACGGTGTTATTTCACTTTTGTTGTTAGTGAGTTGTTGCCCTCATGTCAACATGCAATTCTCTCTACAAGTCTCTATATATTTGACCGTATTTGCAAAAACATGCCCACATTCACTCGAAGACAGTCCCACTGGCCAGAAGTCATCTGACCACCCCCCTGGCTAGGAAATTGGCCCATCATGCATACATGTGGCATGGCCCACTCCAGAAGGGTGCCATGTCAACATAGAACCCTCAAACGAGGTTCAGCAACTTGAGTAAAATACCCAGAAACACACTCAATATCAAGGTTATTTGACACGGAAAACTCAAAGTCTAGCTTAGTGGAAGTGTCAGTACAAGACACCCTCCTCTCCCCCTGCTTTTGACAGCTGGCCACCAGTAAACCACAAGCAGATAGGCCATGTCCCCAACCTGGTCTTCAACACTTCAATAATATGAATCTGCCCAAAATTTACTTCTCATATTCAACTCAAATGACGCAGCTCCACAAAAATCTGTGCAGTTTTTCACTGATTGGCTGCAGCTAAGATGTGAACCTTATTTCCAGTAACAGGCAGTTAGAGACAATACAAGAATCTTTGTGTTGTGGACAGCATCCAAGAATCTTTTTCGGGGGGGGGGAATTCCCATCATATGGGTACAGCTGTAGGGTGCATAGAGACCAATATCCATTTATCAAGTAACCAGGATGCAGAGAAAGCCAGTTTCCAGGCTTGCTTTGCAGGCAAACTGTACCCATGATGTACTAGCCTGAAAGTCGTTGTCCCTAGTCCAGAAAAAATGTGAATCTAAATAAATTCAAAATTAAAGTAAATATAATAATTTCGTCTCTTACGGAGCTTCTATAATTTGAACTTACTTAGGAATTTTCCCCAAAACCTTCATTTACATGTGAGGCAGTAAATGCTAGAATCCTTTAGCCCCAGGCTATCAAACATAACTTTCTTTGCATGCAGGAAAACAGAATGAACTTTCATAACACTATGGAAATATGTGTATGGCATGACATTTGCATGTGCATGTGCATGGCATGTGCATGGCATGTGCATACACATGGGCATGTGCACCTACATTGGCATCCTTACTTGTATAATCAGTACTAACAGGTTTCTCTTTTTTCACTTTCGTAGCCTCAAGACATTACATAGTAATTATGTAAGTGACAGGACATAGTAGAAGAGAAGAAAGCAAAGCAAACTGTGGGGGGATGTGAAGCTATCAAGCAACAGCATATTATAAGTCAGTCGCAGTACTCAGCTTGAGTAAGACTTATTATTATCTTATTGTTTATGTTTATGCATTAAGATCCCATATTTGACAGAAGAGCAAAAGATCCATGCTTTAAAAAGAACATTTTTTTAATAGAAACTGTAACTGAGCATTTGTTTGCAAAAGTTGTTCCTGGTGCTCATCTTTTAATAAGCCCCTAAATTATATTTATTGATTAGGTTTGTTTTCTGGAGGATTCCTGCAGTGAGCCTGTTGTTTAGAATTTGGTTCTTCCTAAAGTGACACTGAGTATCTTGCTGACATTTATCAAGCTTGAAGTGCTCACGCTTTTCCTAGTGAACAATCATCAATCAAAATCAATTTGTTTTCTGCATCGTCAAATTTCTACAAATGGGCCTAACCACCTAAGTTTTATACTGATTAAGTGTCATTATTTCACAACAAATCATTTGAGATCAGCCAAAAGTTTTTACCAGGTTCACTCAGGTGCGAATTTAAGGTAACTACTTCAAAATTGCTTGTATTGTCTTGTCGTGGGTTTCTGACTATTGGGAAAGCCTCCAAAACTCCCACATGCTTGTTACTAGGCAAAAATGTACGGTGTGATGTTGCTCTCTGCCACAAATAGGTCTGTGACACTGCATGAGTTACCAGAGCAAGGTTGAAAATACTGTAACTGACATAAGTTGTTTGACATACTGTTTGTCAGGTGACTCTCGTAAGTCACGTGACGAATGCATGTCGTCAAGGGAGTCTAATTGTCCAATAGACTTTTTGTTATATTAAAATTCAGTTTTGCAGTGAGGCTTAGTAGACACAAACAAAGGGGATTGAATGACATATTTACTCATTTCTTTCGTTTGTGTCCTCTCGGGTTCACTACCAAGCTGAATTTTAATATGTCGAAAGTGACCTATTGTACCCATCCTTTAAATTTAAAGCCTATCTCATGAGGTTTCCAACTTTTTAACTTAAATAATTTATAAAGCCTCCCACACAGCTATTTTTGTCTCTGTGCTGGTACATTGTCAAAACAATGTTTCTGTTTACTTTTTATGACAAAGATATAGCGTAAGTGTATCTTGAAGATAATTGTTACGGTGATATCATGTTAAAGTAGTTATATATAGTAAATCTTGTTGTGATACAGTGGGCACTTACTTCAACTCTATTGAGAAAGCTGCTTCCCCTGGGCTGAAGGTGGCAGTTGTAGACCACAGACCAATGCTCTGAAGGAAACCAGGTGGCAACTGGTACATTTACCCAGAATTCTTAGCACACGAAAACTTTAACAACGCTCATAAAAACGTACAGAAAAGTTCGAACATCTTCAAACCTGGCATACACTATGTCCATAGCACAGGGACAAATAGAGCAAAAATATGGCTTTCCTTGTACTTTACGCGATGTGTAGGGCTCGCGTGGTATTGTGGTAAAATGTTCAGCCGCCATCTTTTTTTCTTACGGAGGATTAACTTCAACTGATTACCGCTTTGAAAAAAGGGGTAAATGCCAAAACTAGTTACTTTGCACGATAAAATCACTTATCTAAACTATGTAAACAAGACACATCACTTTTACGCTGATCAAAAACGATCTTCTATAGGACATGCGGTTCACATGGTATACATGAATTTTCCCTACGAATCAATGCGAGTTAACGAGAGTCTACCGTGATAGTGAACTACCTAAACAACAGCTGATGTCTGTTAATCAAGTAAAACTTGAGTTAGCACGTAACATTTAAGTTCAACTATTTCAGAATGAGGAATTTTTGTGTTCATTCTGTCGAAATTGGCATTTCGTCATTCACTTGTTTTAGGGAGAGGTTACAATTACCGTTTAAGGTACGTCCTCGTAGAAACACACTAGAAGGGTCTGAATTTTTGGCCCATCAAACAAGTCGTCAAAAGCTGGTGAAAACTGGTGTGTCAGTTCTTTGCCACTGGAATATTTCGTGTCAAGGGCAACCTCTCATGCGGGAATGACGCATGCTCAGCCAATTTCAAACCAAAAACGTGTTTTTCTCCTGAGGGTGATTCTGACAGCAGAAATGTAGGAAATCTTGTAGTTAACTAGGAGTACTTGCAAAAATAAATGTGACATAAAATTAACACGGAATATTTTACTTGAAGACGTACCTACATGTAAAATTGCAGTGTATTAATTTTGCAGTGCACTGTGCATATACTGAAGAGATATAGAAAGTAAACTATTTTATTCCAGCGTTTTCTCGTAGTTCCTTGCAAGTTACCAAGCAGTATTGGGTGAAGAGAGATACACGGTGAAGGTGTTCTCCCAGTCAACCTCGTTTCCAGGGTCTCCCATCTTCCCGCCCTCTCGCTATTATTATTATTATGGTCTATTTAAGGTCATTCCCCAGTATTGCATTGCGCATTCCTACTTCGCATAATTTCACGCGTGATTAGCGCGCGCGCATTAAAAAATGGCGGCTTTTTCTTTACGACTGGACCTCGCCATAAAGGTAAATCGTCATTTTCTCGCAAACGAGTATGGTGACCTATCATTTCTTTTCTGTTGTTTTGAATTGAGTAATACATTTCTCTGTGTAAAATAAATATGGACCAATCCTCATTGTAGAACAAAAAACAATCGTCGGAAACGTGAATTTAGCAAGCAATTATGACTACGACATGGGGCTATTATAAGGATTTATTGGGTATAAACAAGGTGCTGTTGCTCCTAAACGAACATAAGGACCCTTCATATTTATTTCAAATTTAAGTTCTATAATATAAACAATCAGTAGGCAAAGTTTCACAAATAACTCAGTGCAGGTTCTATGTCAGTGGAATGACCTTGAGGTCATGCCACTGAAATAGAACCTGCACTGAGATTTTTGTGAAACTTTGCCTATTGATTGTTTATGTTATAGGAACTTAAATTCTGAAATAAAAATGAGGGGTCCCCATGTTCGTTTAGGAGCATTCACAAAATCTTTGTTTTGACTCGGGTGTAAAAGTTATATGGCCAAGCACCGAGGGGATTTGAACACATGACCTGTTTACTAGACATGCAGGCGCTCTAACCAACTGAGCTACGGCGCCAACTGACGTGAGGACAGTTAATAAGAAAGTTATTAGTTATCTTCTCGCCTGGTGAGTGATTTATTATCCAACATTTTTCCTTTCTCAGAATCACAGCAGCGCAAGCTCAATTTAGGACAATTTATGAGAACGACAAACGTGGCTCACACGGTTTCAATTTGAGTTAGAGGTTTGTATGGAAACGCAATGGTTTAGTTTTAAAGCTAAAAATTGCAACGTTTTCTTTGAAATAGACAATAAACCGTTGCGTTTCCATAAAAACCTTCATGGTAAATTCAAACTGTTGGAATCAAGTTGGTCGTTATCATAAATTGAACTTGGGCTGCAGGATCCAACCAACTGAGCGAGGAGTCATCTGATGTGGACAATGGTTCCAAATCTCTAATCCTGGCCGAGAAAGCCTCCCGAAAATGAACTGCTCGCAAGATAGTCTTCCATCCGAAACATAATGATCAGTTTACAATCTTGTACCCCGTCCCCTGTACTGAAGCGTTTCACCATTTTGCCCGAGTAGCTAGTACACCGGCTGAAATCTTCACTCTAATAATAATAATAATAATAATAATAATAATAATAATAATAATAATA